GAAAAATTGGCATTCATTTGTTTACTGAAAATTTGGATCATCATTTGTATCGAAAAATCTTGGATGACCATCTGTATAACAACGCGAGTATGATATGCGGTCGTGGCTAGGTCTTCCAACAAGATAATGACCCAAAATATATCTCACGAGATGTTCAACGTGATTTGAAAAAATATCTTTTAGGACGAGTTCTTTCTTGGCCTTCTTACAGCTCAGACTTGAACCCTATCGAAAATGTATGGGTTGTATTAAAGGGAAAAGTGGAGAAAAGGGTCAAATATTTAGTGGCAAAAAAAAATTATTACCTGCGATGTATTTCTTAATACAATCTGGCAGGAATGGGATGATCTTGATGATGCCATGTTACTTCGATGCATGGAGAGCATGCTAAACTGGGTTAAAGCATGTATCGATGCAGAAGGAGGACATACCAAATATTAATTAAATAATAAAAAAGTAGCCGTTAGTGATTATCTTGTAAATAAATAAAAAAAAAATTACAATAAAAATAAAGTTAGTACATACCATTAAAATTTATTTCCGCCATTTTTTTCGCCAGGAACTGTATAATAACTACACTAATAGATCATGACATTACCAGTCTACTATAACACTATATAGTAGGAATTAATTAAAATAGTAGTTAGAAAGCCATAAAGATAACTAAATCCTAGGTTATGAAGCTACTTGTAGATTATGGTATCACATCAGATTATGACATCAGGTTATGATGCTACCACTGGATTATGACATTAGATTATGTCATCTTCATTAGAATATATCACCACTATTAGATTATGTCATCACTATCATAACCTAATCCAAGTTATCAGAGGTTCTTTAATATAATTATATTAAAGAACCTCTGGCGACTTAATAAATAATTTGGATACTTTAATTAAATAAATTATACTTGCTAATTTAATTTATATTATCTTAAGTTAATAAATAAAAAATAATAAATTTATGAATTTAATTTTTTAAGTATCATTAGTTAGAAACATTTTATAAAAGATTATATACAAATAAAAGCTACTTAAATTTGAAAATAACTAATTTGCATAATATATAAATATATATTATATCTAATTTTATGTTATCTTTTTTAAAAAATCAAAAAATTTGAGTTTAATTAATTAATCTTATATTATTCAAATAATATAAGCTTAATAGCAAAATTATAATAAATTTTAGTATAATTTACATAAGGGATAATAAGTAAATAAAATTGATTTTAAGATATTCATATTAGATTTATATACAGTGGAATGCATTCCCTTAGGAACATAGTGAAACTTTGAAAAAATGCGTATTTAAAGAGGTTGTCATTAAATGAGAGAAATTTCATATGATCTTTATATACTTTGAACTGTATGGAGAGATAAAATAAATAATACGTGGATGTATTTCTTTGTATGTTATATTTTCTTAAAAAAACATATTATTATACTAATTTTACGATATTTAAGAAATTTTAAAAAAGTAATAAATTAAATAATAAAAAACATTTACACCTTTTTTTTATTTGTTAAAATGAAAAAAAAATGGCTTGCAGTAATAAAAACCGATCCATTTACCTGAAATTTAATCAATAAAAAATTTAAAAAATAAGCAGCTTATTTTGGCGCAATCCAATAAAGATTTTACAAATCATTTCTACTGATCTCACAAAATGATGATCCGCAGTAGTTAAAAAAAGGTGTTTAGGTTTCCGACCAACATTAATAAATGCATATATTGTCTATATTGTCGAGCGGAATTACATTAACGCTTTAATACTGGATTAATAGGGAATAATCACATGACATAAATATTTAAAACAAAACTGCGCCGATTCTCCTTACGAAGTAAAAATTTGGATAAATTTATATAACCAATAAATTTGATATAAAATAATTTTTTTTTATTTGTACATCATTTTGTTTCTCTCTTCTAAATCAAAAAAAATTTTTTGAAGCCTTTTTTTTTTTTTGACTTTTGATAAACTTTATTTTTTATTTTAAACAAAATGTCTTATCAAAATTTAAAACAAGAAAAAGGGGTAGAGATTGCATTGGCTTATTTAAGAGAAGTTAAACATCGATGTAAAAAACCTAAAATATTTAATGAATTTTGTGAGACTATGAAATTATTTAAAAGAAAAGAAATTACTGAAAGTTTTTGTCATAATGTTGTTAAAAGTCTTTTTAAAGATGATCCTGAATTATTAGAAGGTTTTTATGTTTATTTTCCTAAACAATCATCATCATCGACTTTTTACATAAGCACAACACAAGAAGTTAAAGTTGATAATAAAGAAAACAATACTAATCATATGAACATTAAAAACCAAGTTATTGTTAATGAAAATGACAACAAATTGGATTTTCGAGGTATTGAAAGGTTTTTCAATATTTACATATATTCAATAAGTAATATGAAGAACAATATAGCATTGATTTACAAATTGTCTTCTCTTTGCAGTGAATGATCGTCAAAGTCATATCATTATTAGTACCGGAGAAGAGAAAATGGTGATGATCGATAAAGAATTGGAAAATGAAAATATTTCTAATATTAATCAAGGTACAAAGGTAAGTTATATTAATATATTTATATTGTAATTAAAAACATTTTTTTTTTTTTATGAAATTAAACATTTATTATAATTTATTTATCTTAGACAGAATTTATTAATGAATTTTATACAAATTTTCGTTCACCAAAGAAAGAAGCATCCGATCTTTCAACAGTTATTTCTAATTCTAGAAGTTCCTCATTCTCTCAAACACCATCACCACAAAGTTCTTTCAAAAATGTTGAGATTTTTGATGATGATGATAATATGAACTTATTAATGCCATCATCATTTATAAAAAAGAAAGATACACAATTACAACAGCAAATAGCATCATCATCTCCAGCGTCAAATTCATCGGAAACGGGTTTACGAAGAAGCACTCGTAATCGTAAAGTTGCTTCGAAACCAGTTGATGATGCTTATGTTTTTTATAAATAAGCGTGTTCGTGTAGTAAACTAAACAAGTTATGCTGCGCCACTTGTTAACGTTAAAATTTTATTTTTTGTTGGATTCCTTTTTTTTTTTTTTTAAAAAAAAAAAGACCTAGTTGCAAATTTCCTCTTTTAATTAATGCTTTTTTTTATTGTAAATTTCATTCTCGTTTAATTATTAAATTTATTAATGTAAACTGCTTTCTCAAATGAAAAAAAAAAACATCCAGTATTTATGATGTTTTTATGGTTTAAAAAAATTTTATCAATGAAAAGTGAATTAAAATAAAATAAAAAAATACATAGATAATTTAGAAACGAAAAAGAAAAAGAAAAAATTTCCGATTGGAATTATTTGATTTAAATTAATTTTCAGGAGTAGCGTTAGCCATCTTCCAATATTTATCAACAAAAAGGCTTTTACTTTTTACGTTTCTAGAAATCATACTTCCAACAACAATCCCATTAAATAATGGCAAAAGACCCGCACCACCATTCTTTCCTACGGTAATAACAATAGCTTCTTTCGCAGGCTTGTATTCTTCCAATTTTTTCCGACTTAAATAAGAAACTATATTTCTACCAACTAATTCAGCATGGTGGCCTGCCCTAAAAGCTAATTTTGATTCAGGGATATTAGTAATATCTCCAATAGCAAATATATGTTCATATTCATCTAAATCTAATTGTAGAGTTGGTTTAACTTTAACCAAATGAGTATTTTCGTCTATTAAACGTGCGTTCAAATGTTCAATAATTGATATATTCGGTTTTGTCCCGATTGCAACAAATTGTATATCAGATTCAATAATTTGTCCTTTTTCGGTTGTAATCGCCAATTGTGATAGTCCATTTCCAACATTATATCTTTTAAAATCAATTCTTTCTCCAAGAATTAAATTGACATTAAGATCTTTAAGTTGTTTTGCAAGCGAATCTTTTAATTTCTTTGGAAACTTTGGTGAAAGTAATTCCTCATTTCCATGTAAAAGTGTAATTTCTTTTTCATTTCCATAAACACTTGCAATTTCACCAGCCAATTCAATACCAACAGGTCCACCACCGACAATTAACACTCTTTGAGCATTTTTTAAAGCTTCACGTTGTTCCAAAATTTCTTTAACATCATCATCTTTATTTTCTCCAATAAATTTGGCAGGACGAAGGTAATCACTTCCAGTAGCAATGACGGCAATTTCAAAATTAATATTAATTTCTTGACCATTACTTTTTCTTACTATTAAATCATTTTTGTTGAATCTTGTTACAGTACCGTGGATTACTTTACCATCTCCATGTTTTTCAAATATATGATCATAAGGAATAATTATTTTTTTTTCAAATCCTTCTTCTACTATTGCTCTTAATCCTCCAATATCATGATGAAAATGAGATTTTCTTTCAATTAAAAGAATTTGGTGAGTATTACTTAACGTGCTAGAAAGTTTTTGAGCGGCTGTCAACCCTGCATAGCCTCCTCCGATAATTACAATATTTGGTTTGGTTGTTAAGGCAGACATGTTTTCTTGTCAAAAAAAATAAAGTAGTTTGAGAATACTTCATTTTTATACTTGTCCGAACAAAATTGTCCGGAATAATTCTAATAATTATCCGAACAAATTATCCGAGATTGACCATTAATAATGTTCGAACTCACATTAATAATCAGAATAATAATCCGAGTATAACTAAAATGGATTTTATAGCTCCTTCAATTTCTATAACAAATTATCGAGACCAATTAATCGGTTAATTTGTTCTCTTCCATAATATTCGAACCAACATTAATAATCCGGGATTTTCGACCTGTTCTCCCGATTCACATAAGTTGATACCAATCAAATGATGCCGACACTATAACCTATCAACCAATCAGAAAGTACAGACAATAATTAAAATTTGGCTAAAGAAATATTATTATGACAAATAAATATATCGTTCGTTTTATCTCTGATGAATTTCATAAAAATATAATTTTAATTTTTATATTTTGCAGAAAAAGAAGGAAACAACTTTACATTATATATTTTTTTTTAGTGAAACAAGTTCATATTTAACATTATATTTTTTGGGATTTCCTTGTAAAGCATTCATTACTGTATATATATAAACTCCTACCAATAAGTTTAGGACCACCCGATAAATAATAAAAAAATGAGTTATTTTAATGATTAACTTCTTTTATTAGACTATAAAAAATCATATACATCATATAATAAAATTTTACAGTTTATTTTAATAAATTATTAGTGGATTTAATATATGAACCTTTTTTAATAAAATTAAGTAAAATTATTAACGTAATAAAAAAAATTTTTTACAAGTATAATCATGCAAAAATTTTATTCATTAACCATTGTACATTTCTCTATTATAGCTTATGGGAATTATAAAATTTACTTAATAATATATAGTAAAATTGATGATTTTCAGACTATATAACAATCTATAAATTGTTAATAAAATTCAGCCCAAACCTTTTTATTTAAAAGCTGATTATTTATAAAACTTATTATAATTTTTAACAAAAATAAAAATATTTTTAAAGCAAAAATTTTCTTATTATAAAAAATAAGATTATGATTTTTTCATTTTTACATATAAAAATATCTTATTTATTACTTTGCAAATATATACCTTTCTGTATTTTAAAAATAAAATAACTCTAAATACATATTTAAAACTATAATCAATTGGCTTTTAAATAAAAAAATTTGGATTAAATTTTATTAATAATTCATAAATTTTTATACAATTTAAGATTATCAATTTTACTAAATAAATATTATAAATTCCTATGACCTATGTCAAATAACTTTATATATTATATATAATATAATACAAACAAAAAATATTTCAAAATCTTGAAAAATTAAAACTTTTAATAATTAAAAAAAATATTTAGATAATCACAATAATCACAAGCTTTAATTACAGTTTCTATACAATATATTATAGTTGTAACAAGATTTTGATAAATCTTATATGAAATTTTAAACTAGCATTCTTAAATAAGTGTTTCAATTCTTACGATTTTTTGGATGATTTATTTAGCTTAAATATAATATTCAAGCTTATCTAATAGGTACTCTATGAAGTTAAAATCTAGGCTTTATCCTAATCATATATATACTATTTTTTTTTAATAAATTTTATGTTTTTGTATAAGTATATTATCTTGCTAAAATAAATACTTATCATATATACTTCTTTAAACTCTTTTAAAAAAAATATTATATAATAGCTAAAATTTTCTTTTATATATCTTTTGCTATTAATTTAACTATCTATTTTTATTAATGAATCTAACTCTTACTTAAAAAATACCTATATTATAATACCACCTTTAAGTAGAGCCAATTTGGGGGTTCTGGGGTAAAATCGAAACAATATCCAAAATAGATCTCCAAGCCTTTTTCCAATCAATTTTAGCTATATGAATCAACTATAGAATTAAAGCTTCTAGCCAA